TGGGCGGTCTGAAAAGGTTCTATTGTGGAATTGAGATGGGGGGGTTGATTGATCAAGGTGCCACACTCGTACAGGGATGTGTGGAATGCTGCAGTTACGGTACTGCGTGCCACTATATGGAGGCGCCTTGATCAGTCAAAAGTGGCAGACCATGTGGACCATGTGGACCACGCTCTCGATGGTTTTGGTGCACGGCACTGAATTCTCGTGGGCTTCTGAACATGGGCAAATCAACTGCCTTGATCTTGAGCAGCTTAGCATTTCTCCTTTCCACCAGCATTTCTCGCATCATTGTGTGCATCATCTGTTGATGAACACCAAGTGTTTGAACACATGAAAGAAGTCCATTTGAAGATCAGAAAGTGCTGGATCCAATCTTCGCTCTTCGCTACCAACCAATCCCCGCTGCTCGTGTTTGATCCAACCCGCTTTCAGAAGCCAGAGGGATTGTAGCTTTGCAGAGAGGAGTACACAATTCTCCAACACCTGGTGAAGAAGAGACTATCAACGAACATGCCCTTTGGTCCTTCGTATCAATCTTCGACACGCGTTTCAACTCAAGCCCAAGTCATCACCTCAGATATATATGGCCAGGCCGCTAGGCTCGTTGGATCTGACCCGGAAGCACCTCATCGATCCTCCGGACCGGCGCCGCGCCGAAACCGCCAGGCTCCAAGTGCCCCTTGGGCGCCGGAACTGGTTCACCGTTCGCCGCGTGCTTTCTTTGACTTCTCTTTTCCCGTCGATCCGAAGGGCGAAGAACTGGGATCCGGCCTCGTGTGACTCTCATGACAAAACCTGATCTCGCTCCGGAATGAGTCGGAACGACTTGGACGTCTTTGAAGAAACCTTTTCACCGACGTTTTTTGACTTCCAAGTGGGAGAGTTGTTTGGGGAAGTGGCGAGGGCTCAAGTCGTCGGGTTGGACTCAGACCTGAAGTTTGAGAAGCGCAAGCCTGACTTGCGCCTTCCATTCCTGGGTGATTGGTGTGCGAAGAGAAGGAAGCACGGTCAACGTTCTTATTCTGTGGGAGACATGACTGGAAACACGGTATTATTCAAGGTGGGAAGCATGGTTGGAGTTCTCTCCGCATTGTGCGACCTAGTTGGTCTGATCTTTTGACCCAGGTTCTTTTCAATAGCTACGAGGACCCCAACAGATGTTTGGTTGCTAACAGGTGGTTTTGGGGCGTCGACACCAGGAAACACTTGTTGGAGGGTGGTATAGCTTAAAAGCGGTTTTTCCCCAAGCAGTTTACTGTTAGGGTTCTATCTTAGAAAAAAGAGCTGGCCACACTCACTGGCCGCGCCCCTGAACTCTGTGGCTGGGCTCTGTGGCTGGGCTCTGTGTCCAGGCCTTGGCCTCCTCTTGTCCTCTGTGGCTGGGCTCTGTTCTGTGTCCAGGCCTTGTCCTCCTCTTGTCCTCCTCTTGGCCCCGCCCCTGAACTCTGCTGTGGCTGCCTCTGTGGCTGGGCTCTGTGTCCAGGCCTTGTCCTCCTCTTGTCCTCTGTGGCTGGGCCTTGTCCTCTTCTTGTCCTCCTCTTGTCCTTGTCTTGGCCGCGCCCCTGAACTCTGTGGCTGGGCTCTGTGTCCGGGTCTTGTCCTCCTCTTGTCCTTGTCTTGGCCGCGCCCCTGAACTCTGTGGCTGGTCTCTGTGGCCTGGTTTACTGGAGAGGAATGTGGCCGAACAAATAGCGATGTCAATGCCGACAAAAATTCATTGATGAAGCAGTTTGCTCTTGGTGTGAAGGTAGGGCGTACCAAGAAATCGATCTTTGACTAATATTGGCCTAAGTGAATCGTTTTGAAGCTGTTTGGGGTCTATGCTTGTATAATTTTTTTCCAGTGGACGCTTTGCTGTTGGACTTGTTGGTTCTTGCCGTTCCTCCAAGGCTCTGCTGTGAGTTCCAAAACGCCCAGAGGCACCGACGTAGGGCTTGGGACGGTATGAAGAAAAGGTGACCTGCGCGCGATTATTTCGGGGTTTCAACGGGATGGGCGTATTGAGCAGCTGCGATCACTGGTGTAGTCGTGTGTGATAAATGCGGTAATTGAGTCCTGGCAGTCACATTTCACTGGAAGATCCGTCACATGTGCCATGCCGGCCGTCAATCAATCGACCCTCGCTGGTTAAAACTGCTAATCCCATGCTTGTCATGGTTCCAAAAAGAGAACTTGAATTCACCCTGGTTAGCCCATTTTCAGGCTCAGTGCAGGATGGCTGCTTGGTGTGAAACTGGAGATAGAGACTGGGCGTGATGGACAGCATATGAGAGAGCCTGAACATGGTTTTTGGAAGGGGGAACGGTCGCCAAGGTCGTCGCCCCCCCAAAAAAAAACACAACAACTGATCACCGGTCCATGACATACACTGCGTCTTTACAATCAACACCGTAGAACGGTCTACGGAGCCGGTCATGGGAGGCGCACCAGTGCGTTCGGTCCGCAGACGTCGTGCTACGACCCAACCAATGGGCTTTGGTCTGTTTGCCTTCTTCCACGGGGTCTTTGGATTTGGGAGGTCTCCCTCTTTCAATACACACCCACCGGAGCCCTCAAGTTCAGGGTATTGCCCTGTGCACAGTGCCATTTGCAAAGAGGTCAGGCGATAACGTTTAGCTGAAACGAGCACAACAAAGCCTCCTTCGAGGTTCCAATATCGTTTCTCCATGTTTCTTCTATTTCAGCAATTTCCCTTTGGAACATCAACCTCACGCCTTCTTGCATAGAAATCTCCTTGTTAGGAGCACAGTTCTATTCCACCATCCTGGTAGCCTGAGGGTTGTCGCATGTCTCGAGGCACGGAGGCCGGCCTCAGCAAGACGAATATGCCCACCTCCATGTTGGCGAATCTCCTGAAGCCCTATATGAGAGGCCTCCCTTTGACTCCATGCCACATGGAACACTCAATGTTGAGCGTGTGGGTCAGCGTGACGCTTGGGAGCCAACTGGAGGGGAGAAGTTGATAGGGAGGGTGCACTCGGAGTAGAGCTTTGACTGCTCGGCTCTTGGCGTCCAATAGGTCAAAGGCCACGCGACTGGCGCAAAGGTTGTCAGGCATCAGGCATCGCGATTGTATTTGGCTTTAGTTGAGGTCAAAGACGAGGCCAACGACCAAAGACTCTCGTGTTTGTGTGGGAACTGCCCATCCCCATCCCGCCTTCTTGCCTGGGATGCTCAGGGAGTAAGCATGAAATTGCTGAGACGGAGGCAGCTTGGATGGGATGATGGAACGCTTGGATGGGATTGTTCGATTGAGAAAGCTGTTGGACATCATCTTTGGACCGGTTGGGTCTGTCCCAACTTAAGCTGTAACAGGCAGTAAACAAAGATCTCTGTTTTGGAACAAGGCCTTTATATACATGCTACTTCCCAACCATCAGGATTCCACTGTGGATGGTAATGGGAGATTCCTAACACATGTTTTTATCATAAGTATATCAAGATCCGCTCTCTTTCGTTTTTCGTCATTTCTCCGCTCCTCCGGGGGAAGTGAGCGTATCCGATCGCCCTGGTGTTCGAACACCAGCCAGCCAGTCGTCCAAGTCACGACATCGAAATGGTCGGAGGAAGAGGAAGAAGATGGACCAATGGGCCAATACCTTTGTTGTATGCATTTGTTTTTTTTGTGTTTTTGCATGTTCAGGGCACATTCGCTGGTGTCTCCAGTAGCTTATGCCGGACTTCCAGTGGCTATTGCTTGCAAACCTTTTATCATCCTTGATCCATCCTTGCAAACCTTAGCGGTCTTGTCCTGTCCGGCAAAACTTGAATTGATCATTTTGAACCACCGGGCCCCTGGTGTGGTCACTGTGGCAGACCATGGAGCTGGACGACAGCAGCCAGAGGACTTCACCAGATGCGTGATCTGAGATGCTGCAAGTTTGTTTCGCTTAGCGACTTTTCTAGTGTCAGAGTCGAGTAGCTGGACCTCTTTTTTGAGCTAGTGTCTACCCAGCTGGGCTTCATAAGGCTTTGAGGTAACCGAGTGAAACAGTTCAGAAGAGGCCTGAGTAGCAATTAGCAACGGTCTTCCGACACATTCAAGTCAAACCCATGTGGTCAGCAACGTTCTCCTGAGACAATTGGACTTTCAATGATTTGGAATCGAGTGCCCATCAATCGGCATCTTGGAACTGCAAGATTGTGGAGTAGTGGTTTGTCAGGACTTCAGAGGAGTTAAAGAAGGCGCATGGTGGGTCAAAGCCTAGACCTCAAAGCTGCTTAAAGCTGCTGTAGGTTGACACCCCTGGTCGATAATTTTTGTTCAGTTCATGGGGTCATCAGGGTCTCAGGTTCTTGACTCGACGCACCATCGAAGCAGGTTGGACATCCACAGCGTTTTGGCATTTGATCCTTTGCCATTCGCTTTTTCTGTTTTGCTCTCGAATCTTCGGTTCATTCCCTGCTTTTTGCGGCAACCCAGGAATCCATTGAAAGAAAGGCTTTTTCAAAGGAATATATCAGACATTCCTAGTACCGAAAACTCATTGCTAGGAGGCTTCCCTGTCTTCGTTCGTTTGTTCTCGATTGCGCACATCTCGTGACCGGAACGTGACCGACCGCTGTGCAGGTGGAAAGACAGGGAAAGAAGAAGCAATCAGCAAGATTGCTCTTGGACGATGGAGGAATAGAGGCACGTGTGTTCTGTCTCTGATATAAAAACATGTCTTTTGGGTGGGTATGAGTGGAGTTTGGTTTGCGAGTCACTCCACAAAACCTCCAAAACCCAGAAGGGCTAGGGATTGGTTTCCTGGGGTCAAAACGCCCATCTTCTGCAGGAAGAAGGGTACGAAGACCCATGCATGTTCGTTCTTCTCCGTTGGCCCCACCCTCCGGAACGTGCGCAAGTGCTTCTGCATTCGAAGGGAGATGCTCTGTCAGGATGTGATACGGGAGGCCGCAGCTGCAGGATCTGGGCTGTCGGAACGACGCCAAGAGGCTTTGAAGCGATCGAAGAAGTTGCAGGAGAGGGTGGCAGGGGATGGTGGGTGGCAGATGGGTGGGGTAGGTGAGACATTTTTTCTTGTTTTTCGCCTGGAACAGAGACAACATGATGGGATTGGGTGACTTCCATGCTTCAAGCAGATGGTTTCGTAGCAAAGTCCCACTGGCATAGACCTCAGATAGCATTACGATCAGAAAAAGATGAGACTAGAAGAGTAACGCTCCCAAAATGGAAAGTATTTGTGGATAAGGCTAGAAGAGCAATGCGATCCGGGACTGTCTGGGAGTTCACAAAGCCCGAGTTGTGAAAAGCGGGTCTGGCTTTAGCTTCGTAAAAAGGTACAATCAAAGCCTGGGAAAGCCTAGGTTGCAGCGTCCCAGCGTTCCAGGGTTCTGGAATGTGAAATTGCTAGAAGGAGCAGGAACAACGTATGGCTTCCAGCGTCCAGAAACACGTATGGCCTGCCCGTCCAGACCACGTTGGAAGATGAGGGCTAGTGGAGGTGGCCGGCTTTAGAGTTGGGCTTTTGGGAAGCCAAGTGATGTTGCAACGTGCTCAATGAATTGAGTCCAAGAAAGCAGGCCCGGTGGCAGAGAAAATAGCTGATGTCTTGAGACCTATACGTATACCTATGCCTAAATTGATGCTTATTTGCCTGTCTTTCCTTCCAAATACCATAGGCTGGCGGGAGGCTTACCCGAAAACCCGAAAGGCACTGGATGGTCGTTCACTGAAACCAGGCCTGATGTAATGAACAAGGACTGCAGCCTTGGTGCCTTTGAAGCTCACACATGCGTGGGGTGTTGGTATGAGACGGTGTGAACCTCCTTTCCTTTTTCAAGTGTTGTTGCACTGCCAGCAAGGACACCCCAACGTGTGACCGTGGTCGTCTGAGACCGGCGGGTCGTTGAGCAAGGTTAATTTTTCTTGCTGGGGGCCTTGAGAGGGTGTGTTGGCACAAATGGGCAACTCTTTAAGACACTCCTTGGACTAGACGACTTGGAGGCGATGTTATCACAGTGAACATGCAAGAAACCTGAGCCAAGTCTGATTCTTTCTGCGCACGTTTAGAGCATTCTGTTTCTGACCACAACCCATCAGGAGATGGTCCGCGATCCACAATCTGCTGAGAAGAGCCCTGCTTTTGAGGCGCAGTTCGGATGGGGTTTGATCCGAAGGGTCTATGGTGCTGACATGCTCCACACCCTGGCAAACGATGTGCTGGGGTGGCCAAGCTGAAACACGCGGTAGAACCTACCTGGAAGCGTGGTTTTTGGATGCGCTTACACAGAAAGACTCGTTCTATGATTTTTCTATATGCTGTTTTAGGTTATATAGATCGTGCATCGCCATCAAATCGACCCGCTGTCTTCCATGTCGCCAGGTTGACATGCAGGACCTGCCGGCGGAACAAAGGTCCTCGGAAGATATCTATTGGGAAGCACTTTGGAAAGCCACCAAAGATATGCCGCTCAACTGGGATGTTCAGACATTTTGTTACCCTCACTCACTCACATGAAACATGGCCTAACTGGGACGACTCTTTTCCTCTACAATGGCCAGTGGTGGGCACTCCACTTCCATGTGATTTGTTCGGGGAGCGAACTGTGGAGGTTTGGGGGGAGTGAACTGTGGAGGCGGAGGTCGAGGTCATGAAGAGATGATAGAGTGCGGAGGTCTAGGCCTGCTATGCAGTGAATGAAACAGCTGGCGGCCAGAGAGGCCAGAGAGGCCAGCTTTGCACTGAGGATGCGAGATGTCTCGGCTGAGGACTGGCCTGAGATGTCTCGGTGTGTGATATACCCCTGAGGATGAGAAGAAGTAAAGCAACTGTTTCGATCTGGGATTGATGAATCCTTGAATTCAAGTAGATGCCACTCGGCAACCAGCAGCGCTAAGCTATGAGCCGTGGCCCACACCGTCGAAACCGTCCGCCCCACCAGGGTGCCCCACGACTGGAGATGGAGCTGCTTCCGGAGATCCCGGGGCCCGGGGGACACGGAACGAAAGGGACCGAAACAGTGGTTGGGGCGGAAGAAACCATGACAGATATATCAAGGAACAGGTCGTTTTTGTTTTCATTTTTGTGGTAGTTTTATCGTTGTCGTTGTGTGTTTTCTTTTGCTTTTTCTTTTTCACCCCTAATCTTTCGGACTGCCAGGGTTTTGTCATGTCATGTGATTCCTTACGGCTTGGTAGAGATCACGGGCCTTTCACTCTGAAAACAGTGAGTTCAGCGCCAAAAGGGGTTGATAGATGTTGGGCGGTCATCCCTACCCCTTTGCGACTTTGGCAAACAGGGGGGGATCCTCCAGGATTCGGAGGGATGGGAGGTTCATTTGAGAAATGGATCCGACCACGCCTCGTATCTGAACTGGAGACCCCCCCTGCCCTGGCTCTTGACCGCCAGGTCTTTGGACATGCCCCTTCCCTAAAAGAGCAGCAGACCGTCCCGTCTCAGACGTGTGGCCACTTGGACCCAGACTTTGAGGCTTCTCAGACGTGTGATAGCAGATTTGGAGGTCAGATCTGACCTGATCCGAGAGGCCGCTCTTGTTGCACCTAGGTTGAAGATTCCGGGAGATCCACTTGGAGCCTTGCTCCCGGAGATTTATATCATCTAAACTTGGCTGACAAAGGCTGGGGTCCTTATCAGTCTTTTGAATGGCACGGAGATGTGCTTGCAGCCCATGGCCATTGTTTGACCAGGCTTGCATACCCCCAAAATTGGGGGGTCGTTGCATTTATTTTGGACTTACGTTGCATGGGATTCCTGCCAAAGCAGGAGATCCCAGGCAGCAAGATGCGGCTGAAACTTGGTGGTTCTGGTGCCCAAGACTGTTTTCAGCTTGCTGATTTGTTAGCATCCAAACAAGCTGTGAGTGGAGCAGCGGAACCACGCCCATTTTCGATGTCCCTCTTGGTAGAGTCCCAAGAGCTCATTTTGCTTCGATTTTGCACTTTGCAAAATCCCAAGTTATTGTTGGCCGACTCCACTTGGCCAATTTTCAAGACTTGCTTAGCTTGTGCTCCTCTTGCCGCTCTCGAGTGCGGTTGGAGATGAACCACAAGCAAAGGATCAGTTCCAATTTCATTTCCCCCCCTCAGGTTGCCGACAGAAGCCAGCCCACCACCGCCTTTTCGCTTCTGGTCGAGCTCCTGGCTATACTGCGCAGTGCACGGTGCAAAAGGAAGGGCTGAGACGGTCCCTGGACCCTGGGAGCACTGTGGGGAGCACTGTGGGGGAGATGCTGTGCCCAGCTGTGCCCTGGTGGTGTGAACATCCGAAAAGGAACGAGGTATTGATCGCCATGTTTCTTGGTGTTCACGAAGTCGACCTCCAAAGAGACAAGCACCACAAAGACCAGACCGAGGAACAAGGAGAACGCGTGTCTTGTTCCCAACGGCTCGGTGTTGTGTTTAGGAGCGGTTCTCCGGAACGGAACCACCGTTGGTTTCCTCTCCACCGTTGGACCAAAGCGGTGCTGAGCCGGGGGGGAAAAACATGGAGATCTTTCGAGATCTTTGGATTCTTTCTTTTTTGTTGAGAAGATGATAGACACCCCTCATAGCAACCATAAAGATGATAGACTGAAGATGGGGTGGCCAAGCATTTTGAGAAAGCTGGCAAGACTTGACCAAGTCGGATTCAGTGTCGAACGGCACCTGCTTGTGCTCGAAAGCCCCAGGGTTATGCGACAGGAACTGGAACACAGAAGACTGCCAAGTATTGAAATGTCCAAGTCAAAGCAAGCTACATCCCTGGGCGGCGGCCTACAGCAACAAATGTACATACTGTATTTGGTAGGTGAGTTTGATGAAGACCACTTTCAGCCAATCAGCCAAGCTTGCGCAGGGCTGGCCCAGGTTTTGGACTGTACTGAGTACCCAGGGAGCGATGCAATGGTTGCGGGGCAACCAAAGTGTTTTACCCCAGGCACCAAAGGCGTGCCTCACCGGATTCCGTGATCCGAAAGGTGCCGAAATGAACTGGGCAGAAACCGGAGAGGGTTCGATTGCCCAGGGATGGCCCACGGTTTTCTGTTTCTTTCACGAAGGTGAAGCAACGTGGTCCCTTTTCTGTTGGGTGTGTATGTGTCTTTCTTGCTTTCCTCGTTTTTGGTGTCCCCCATTCGAGCGGGCGCTCCTCCGGGCGCCTCCGCATCGTTGTCTTTTGCTTTTCCGCCAGTCGGAGACCTATGCAAACCTTGGAGCCATTTTACCAGGCAGGCTGAAGTGGGGTTTGCCGTGAGAAAAGCTTGTTTTGTTGAACAAGTCATCCAGATGGGTTGATTTGCTTGATTGAGCTATGTCAGAGTTGAGGGTCAGAACACCACTCCGGCCAGCCTGGCCGCCTCCCGTTCTTCTCAAAAAACACGATGGTACAAACATTTGCGGTCAAAGACTAGGGAGGGGAACCTCGGACCTTTCCCCAGGCCTCCGAGTGGACCCTTCTGAAGCAAAACAGGTCTTTGAAGACCCTCATCACCGGGTTCTCCGGTTCTGATCGCCACCGGCTTCGTTGGTGTTCAGGGCGCCCCAACTCTGCTCAGAACGCCCATGCGGAGGGCGCACGCGGGACCCGGGGCGAATCAGGAGACCCGAGTCGTGTGGGTTTGGAAGAACTGAGAAGCATAAATGAAAGTCACGCAACGGGTGGTCTTTTTTTGGACCACTTTTTTGGCAAGAGGCAATATGCTTTTGCTCAATGGGTTGTGTCTGCAAGCTCACTGGGAATGAAGAATGTGGGGTGCGGGATTGGTGTGGGTTTGACAGAAAACTCGTCCCTTACTCGATACCTGAGCCAACGGATGTTTAGTTTATATACTCTTCTTCAGATCTACCGGCAGGAAGTCTTATCGTGCTTATCCTTCCTTCTTGTGGCATCCATCTTGGAGCGCCATGCCAACCCTTCCAGTGACCAACGAGGTCACCCGTGGTGAGGTCACTCAAAAGCTGCTATTGACCTCAGGCGTTTGAAGCCTTGCTGCGCAAAGCCAGCCTGTGAAGATGATTTCGGTTGAGACTCGACGTCACTGTCTTGAACAAGTTCGCAGAAGTGATTGCTTTGGGATCTTGCAATGGCAGCGTGCTTAGGAAGGGAGAACCAGGAAAGAAGCAAGGAAGCAAGAAAGGAAGAGGGAACACGGATCAACATAATGAGGGTCGAAGGAGGCCCGGATGCAGAGAGGCATGAAAGCAGGGAGCCAGGAAGCAAAGGAAACAAGCAAGCCAAGCAAGCAAGGTTGTTGTGGTCACTACTGGAAGCTTCATGTTGAAAGCTGATTCAAAACAACTCCCTTGGACGGAGACGTAAACCCATTCTGATTCCGAACACATGCTGTGATAAGACCTTGAAGCTTCTTCTGGCGGAGACATGGCGACCAGCTGAGCCTTTTGGAGAGTGGAAGGTGTGTGGTGAGAACCTCGGTGTTTATGCCCAGTAACAGGACCCGTTTCAGGCGTTTTTGGCGCAAGGTCGGTCTTCTCCTGTTCGCAACACTTCCCAAAAGTGTTCCTAAGGAGGATACAGTCTTTCTCGCAGCTGGTGCACCAATTTTGTATCAGAGCCATGTCTTGCCACCTCCCTTGCCTGGTTCGACGCTTTGAGAACAAGCTGTAAGATCCTATCCTAAGCTTACTCTCACTGCATGTCGACTTGGTTGGGAACCTTTACGGGAAACGGTGAAAAGCATGCATGTCCTTGGATGTTCCCTTAAACCAATCAGAGCATTCCATTCTTCTGCTTTTGGCCTTCCTCCTTGTGTCACTGCCAGGAGCCCTCTTCTCAAGAAGACCAGCTTCAACGCCGCAGACGCAGACCCCTGAATCAGGACGGCCACGAAAGGTAGTCCAAGTGAGAGGTGAACATGACGAAGCGTTGGAACACGAAGCGTTGACATGGCACACCGGTCTTTTGGCCCTTCTCAAGCCAGTTTGAGCTGCTCTACAAGGTATTTTAGTATCCAGGGTACCAGCACCCGACACTACAGGTGTCCTGGAGGTGTGCCGGAGGAGGGTTGTTAGGCCATGTTAGGCCCTAACAGGTCTCAATTGGTGACCTGTTCGAGGGTGCTCCCGAATTTGCCCGGTCTCAGCTCGAAATCGATGCGGCGTTTTGTGTCTTCTCGAAACCTGGTGCCTTTTCCCAATGATGGGTATTAAAACATATTAAAACCCCTGGCGCAATGGGTAGACAGATCTATTTTCCTTTTTTTCAGGGGATCTTTGGGAGGTCTCCCCGCAGGATGCTGTGATCGTTCAGACGTCACGCGGTGAACTTGACCGTCCGCCAGGTGGACGTTTGTTACGCGCACCCCATGAAGCACGTCCTTACGCGCTCCACGTCTGGGGTATCCCCGGTCTTCACCGTGGTGTCACCCTGTGGCCCGGTCGTCACGCCTCGTCCGGGTGTTTGAACCGCGCGCGCAGGCTTGTTCCTTCGAAGGGCTCCCAGCGTGGACTCCCCGACTTCGGAGGACGAATCAGGCGAGACGTGACCTGGAACACTGAATTCTTTTTCATGTGTTGAATTGGCCGAAGAAGAATGCATGTTTCATGGGATTCCCTCAAAACCACACCCAGTGTTCTTTTGGCGATCTTGGCGGTTTCATGCGGTTTCGGAAACACATCCATTGACCGAGCTGCTCACCACCCCCTGTGGAGTCCAAGTTTTGGAGGTGGCAATCTACCAGGTGTTTGGAGGAATATCCAAAGGTGAGTCTAGTACGGAAGCAACTATCTTTGTGTCGTGCTGATGTTGGAAGAATGTAGTTGGACGTGACCGGTCACATCCCGACGCCTTCTGGAAGGAAGCTACCTCTTGAGGGCTGCAAATGCCAAGAAGCCCTCCAAAGGCTGGAACAGGGCCTTGGGGAAGCAGAGTACATTCATCACAGGCCTACACGTCCCGACTCTGGTTTGGTCTTCGACCCAAAACGGAAGCGAAGGAGGCCAACACCGCAGCTCTCCTCACCAGGTCGAACGAAGACCACGATGACCTCGATCTCCGAAGGCTCTACGAGGCGAAACCCGAAAAGACGGTGGCCACCGCTGAAGCTCAACGGCAACATCGAGCAACCGGTGAATTCCGTAGCGATTTTATTTTGTTTTGATGTGCTTTTTTGGAGGTGAACATTGAGATCCGGGTTGATTTTGCGGGTTTTACCCTACAAAGACTGCATGTGTGGATCTATTCAGTCTGATATATGACCGCCCCAGATTACAGTTCCTTTGAGGTGTACAGGAGAACTTGCACCACAACCAGCAATAGTAGCAGTGGAGTCACTCACAGTTTGCTTCTGGTTGGAGAGAAACAAGACCCACCCGTGCCCTCAGTGCCCTCGGCAGAAACACCATGTGACGACCAGGAGCAAATCCCGCGGTGAAGAGAGCAGGATGCAACACCTCTTCGGCGATACCGTGGAACCGTTCTCACGAGGCCCGGAAGGCCCCCCTGGCCTCGCCGGCCCGGGTCGTTCGGGGGTTCCCAGTGACACGCGAGGTCGCGAGGGTTCGTCGCGACTGGTGAACGTGAAGGCGAAAACCACGGTCGAGTTGGATTTGGTGCCGAGTTCCTCGCAGAACAGACGATTTAGAGAAAATGGCCTGATAACGTCATAGCCACTGGTTTGAAGAATGCAAACCCAGGAGCTCTTCAGACGCTTTTACCTAAAGTTTTGTTGCCTACCAAAAAAGAGCTTTACTTGTCGTCATCCATCATTCCTTTGAAAGGAATCTTCGCATGAAAGGAATTTTCTGAAAAGCTCCCTTGTCCCTATCCTAATCGGGACGGGTGATTTTAAAAGACCTCTTTGTTTTGAGACCCTTTTTCGCCCGACCTCGTGCGCGCTGACACACCGGCGCCGCGGGCGAACGAGGTGTGTCAGATCGAACTCCACGAGGCACGTGGGGAGTGGGGAGGGTGTCTTATTTTGCTGCCGCGGGGTGTTGGGATGAGATGTTGGCATGATACGAGATATGTAGAAGTTATATAAGTGTAAATGGACATGGCGGGAGGCATGTGTGCAGATGATGGGAGAGTTGTTCTGAGCGACAGCTTTCTTTATGGTGGGAGCCCTGTATTTCTCGGTTTGGATTCTACTTTCCCAGTGTCCGTCCACGTGTTGTCAAACTGCCCAACGAGCCACCTGCAACCAAGTGACCCCCTCAACAAGAACGGTTTTCGGAGCTCCAAAGTCCTAGGAAGAAGAACTTACTTCAAACCCTTGGCAGCTGACGAACCTGACGAACTTTGGCACTGCTGTTCAGTTCTTAGTCCCAATCGCTGCTCTTGTTCTTCTTTGGTCATTGGTTCTGTGCCTTTGGACGTGCCAATCCTGTCTTGAACACCTTAGCAGCTGTGGGAAAGTTGATTTTGTGTCAGCGTCGGTATATACTTGTGCCACAGACTCTTGAAGTGCAAAGTGCAAAGAACGATGTTGATTTATCCATCATAAGAGATGCAGGTATATTCAGTACCGGCGCGCATTGCAGCTCTTGTATTCAATCAGGTCGTATAGCATGTTTGCTGTTGAAGATCAGGTCTGGTAGGTGTTTTCAAATGCACATCAGAGAACGATGAAGAGCAAGGTCTGCCAAAGTATCTGCGACTCTGAAATTGTGCATTGGGAGAGGTATTGTATTTGCTACACCATATACACGCATCTATAGCAACGCCTAGCATTCTCAGCGCTGCATTTTCCGTGGATTTATCCATCTATGGAAATCTGCGATTGTACCGCCATTGCTCAGCGATTGTGCGACCCCAGGTTCCGCCATGCCATGGGCCAACAACAAATACTGATTATCCCTTCAGAATGCTCTCAGGTGTAAATTGTTGCCCCATGATTGCAAAGGCAGATGTGTGCAGCAAAACCAGCAGGAGCTTGCACTTGCTGCAATGGTATGCTGGCCATTTCCCAGACCGAAAGGCAGACAGAGACAGTCGAACTACTCCGATGACATCTTGCACTCAACAAAGAAAGAGGGTCCAAGAGCCTGCTGCACAACTGCTGCACGTACTTGGCGACAAAAAGTGCCTCTTGCATGGCATCAAACGCTTTGCTAGTCAATGATTCTTACACAATCTATGAGTTTCCTTGTCTCAGCATTGCTCTGGCCATGCAGTCTCTTCTCTTGTCTCAGCAGTGCGGCACCTTTTTGATTTGTGCACTCCGCTTGTGTGTGAGATCATCATTTTTTTTGTGCAAGTCAGATGCCGTGGTCCTGTCGTGGATCACAGAGTTGGAGTGCCATGTTGGTGCCATGTTGACACACCAAAACGGGCGCAGGCGGTACCGGCGGTACCGGCTCTGGAGCCAGCGGTCACAAAACCCCTCGAGGCGGGTGAAACCAAAGGAAAGAAGCTGATCAGACTGTGGAACTCCGTTTGGGCATGGGCATGACGATGAGGCATGCACCAGGATGCCTTTTTTTCAGCGGTGAGGGTGCATCGCATGCCACATACATTGGTGATTGCCTGACTGATCCCATTTTCATGGTCGAAAAAACAAGTAGATGGCAGACCTCCCCCGTGGTTTATATGGCACCCCCTTTGAACAAAGACATCTAAAGACGTGCCAGTGCCATCGAACCTCTGAAATCACTGTATCTTTTTTCTTTTGCTTTGCTGCATATTCGAGCGGCTTTTTGCCCAGGCTCGTTGCAAGATAGCAGCTTCCTGGAGAAGAATCTGGAGCGTCACGAGCGTGGGTTGTGAGCAGCTCTTTGCTGCGCAAAAGATGAACCACCTGGCCGTCACCATGTTTCGCATGTTTTCCTTATGCTTCACAAGCCTTGCCATCCCATGAACGGCTACTTCAGGGTGACGGTGTGTTACAATATACAACACCTTCGGAAAGGAGCCCCCCAAAACGAATCCGAGGAACATCAAAGAACACGAGTGGTGGGTTTTGTGGAACTGACCCAGAACGCCATTTGTGTCGAGCGCCCTTGGAGTCTTGTCTCGCTCCGCGTCCGGGAACGATCTCGTCTCGGTCGAGGAGTTTGAGCGTGGAGTTTCTCATCGTTGGGGGAGCTCAGGGATGGGCGACGGCCGGGGGCCGTGGTGCCATGCCGTGCTTTCACTGCACGTAGTACCCAGCGTTCTGACCCCCACGAAGCTGCATGTGTTCTAGCTTCACACACGGAGATTTCGTCCGACAGCGATGGGTCTCGCGGCCTTTCTGACGACGAGACGCATCGATGTACGTCCATCTTACATCCATTTCATGCATTGCTATCGCGGTTTCAAAATTTTTGGGTTTATGACCACATCATAGAGGACCGCTGATCCAAGTCTATAACTGTTTCAGGCTAAGCTTTCTGATCAGACTCGCGCGCCGTCTCCAAGGCTCTGTTGCAAGCTCTTCGGCAGGCCAGGCTTCTAAGGTGAAAGTTTCACTGAAACCTTTTGCCTTGGCGTCTTAGCCACTCATGACCCAATTCCCCAAACTGCTTGTCATTTTTGAATGCACGCAGTTTAACCCTCATAGAATCCCAGCAAGAGGATATCTAATATACATGAACAATATTTGTATATATACATATACATATAGATACGTAGGTAGAGGTCTTTCCTGGCAGTTCCAACATTTGTTCCAAAAAGTAGCAAAGAATATACATTCCCATCCATTCTCATCTTTCTCCGGTGTGCACAATGTGGATGGTCCCTTCATCGCGCGGCGCCCTCCAGGCTCACAAGATGGCAACTCGTTGCCGAAGGGGAAAGCCGCACCGGAAGGGAAAGCCGTCCGACGAAGCCGCTGCGGACATCGCCAACGGAACCACTACGAGGGCCAATGTATGCGAACTCCATCTTGCGCCGTTGTGATGTTTTGAGGATTGGCAAGAGCTTTCAATTGGCGAGAGTTCTGTAAAAAGGTATCGCTTTCCAATGGTGCTCCCTGACTTGTCAAGACAAGCATTCTTGTCAAAGATTGTTGAGTGAACCACTTTTCTTGCACCTGACTTGTCAGTTTCGCTCGGACCATGTCGCCGGACCGTAGCCCCCGGTTGTCATGAGGTGGAGAAACCAAATCGAATATGTCCACCTCCATGTTGGCGAAGATCCTGAAACCCTACATGAAAGGCGGGTGGTCTGCACCTTTTTTTTCTGAGTTCTTTTTTTCTTTTGAGTAGTTCTTTCTGTTTTTCATGCGGTTCCATTGGGTGGTGGATGGAGGAGGATGGTGTAACCCGGGTCTGCGATCAGAGGCGGATCTGCGATCAGATTTGACTGGATAATCCACCTAATCCGCATGGTACGACCTATGACAAAGAGGCCTTCTGGTTTCCCTCCTTCGTTTGCGGGACACTCTTGGCAGGTACCAAGCATGAAGATACAGCTGCAGAGGCTCAGATCAGAGCCCCGCAAAGAGGGAGTTAGACAGTTTGACTATGTTAGATCATGTAGATCCTGACATACAAGCAGTTTGACTATGTTAGTGATCATTAGGATAACAGGCTGACTATGTTAGACTGTTAGACTGCTTGGGAAGGTGTTTCTTGGGCCAAATCCAGCGGTCCAGCACCACCTGAGATACCCAATGCCAAGCTGATGTGGGTCGATGTCACGGGTTGACAAAAACAACGAAAAAGGTGATTCAAAAGGGTTGGTGGCTCACCATGTTAGTGGCTTACATCTGAGTCGCTGGAGTTGCGACTGAGTCGCTACTTCGTCGGACCTATAGTTTTTTCCGCTCTCTGTCAGTCTGTGGCTTGTTTATGGGTGCGTTAAAATTGGGAGACCTCCCCGTTCGAACCCCTGGAAGAAAAACAGAGCAGTCTACTCAGTCGTTGGGCATCTCCCCTGCTATCACCCTCACCTGGGCGCGAAATCTCCGTGACAGACATTGGACGAAAGCGCCCCGAGGACTGCGAGTCAGTGGGGGACAAAAACACGGGAAGAGGGAATGTCAGAATGTCCACGAACATGTTTCACTGGGAATCGTTTCACCTGTAGTAACAAGAAGCTACTAGTAGGTCTTTGAAGCTACTAGTAGGTCTTTGTTACTAACAATGGATTCTGACCAAGAAGGTCGGCGGGCGATTTGCGCCAACGTAGAAAAGTAAAAAGAGCATCAAAAAACACAAAAAAAAGAGGATCAAAAAACAAACATACTGTAAAGGATCAAAAAACACATATTCCTTGATAGGCCTCTTCTGCTGCTCTCCTGGCCCTGTGGTCTGCGGGTCCTCTGGTCCTTTAGTCCGCTGGTCCACTGGTCCTTTGGTCCCCTGGTCCCTTGGTCCTTTGGTCCCTTGGTCCACAGGCCCTTTGGCCCCCTGGTCCTTTGGTCCTGGTCCCATCCCGTGGTCTCCTGGTCCTTTCCCCTCCTGGTCCTCTGGTCTGCGGTCCTATGGTTTTCTCCTTGTTCTTTCACTGATGCTTTTTGATGCCTTTGGTCCTTTCTCTTTAGCCGCAGTTTTCCTGCAAACGTACAATGCTTTTGGCTTCGGTTGCCTTAGGTCCTTTTGTGCACTTTTAGATGCCCTTCACTGAAAGGGCGATAGGGTACATAGTTTCTAGTGTTATGTTGGGCAATGGCAGCCATACATGACCAATTGCAAAAAAAGGCGAAAAAACACAAAACAAAAGCACATGCACATGCAAAAGCAGCGCAACTTGAATTGTTTTTGCATTTGTTTTGTTTTTTTTTGTTTTGGCTTTTTTCCTGGTACAACTTCTGCACTTATGAGAACTTTTTCCCGTCAGCAATATTTGCTGTACGCTCCTAGGAAAAAACGAAAAACAACGAAACACATGCGAACATACAGCGAAAACAATGCGAAAATAAAGCGAAACACATATAAAAAAACGACAAACACGCACAGCTACATTTTTTCTTTTTTGTTTGCTTTACCTTTTGCTTCTTTTTGCTTTTGTTTTGCTTTAGAACATGATTGTGGCTCCTTGTAGTATCTATGGCTGGCGCGCCCAACATAATTCTAGTGATTTCTTTTGTGGTGCTGTGTTTTAACGTTTGGTTCGCTTTGGAGGGGAGGCGCTGCGCCCCCCCCCAACCCCCCTCCAGCACCACGAAATCTGCACTCTTGCACTGCGCCTGCCACGAAAACTAACTATGTAGGGTCGCCCAACCATCCTCAGTGGGCTAGAATATGTTTTTTTTGATCATAAAAAAAATCTTTGTTTTTTTGATCCCCGTTGAATATTTTTTTTGATCCATCTTTTTTGATCCCTTACCCATAGGCCGTCGGGTTGTGTTCTTGAGAGGACTTCTTCAGATGAGTTGGAGAAGGCGGGCCGTCGCACCTCGCCGGACGCCTGACGTTTGGAGCCAATGGGTGAGCCAATGGTCCTCATTTTTATGGCCAGCAATCCATGCATGGTGTGCTTTCACATGTTGCTTGTGCGTTTGGAGGTCGCAGCACAGAAGAAACATTCAGCAAGATTGCTCTTGGACGATGGAGGAATGCAGGCCCGAGAGGGCCAAACAGACAGACGTGTCACTGGGAGAAGATGAGCCAACAGCGATCGTTGAGAGAAGTTCCGCTGCGACTGCAGGGTCGAAAGATGTGGACACCACTCTTTGGAAGGGCTCCAGACTCTAAAGATCTCTAAAGTCTAATTGTTTGTTTGGTGGGGTGCCCAGTTCCATTCTCAATATGTCCACTTCCAAGTACGGCCCAGTACTGACCCTTGTAGGGAGGTGCTACCGAGCAGTCAAGGCTTGGTCTTCTTCCTTTTGTGTGGGAAGCAGCGGGCGTCGTGTTGTGTGCCGAACGCTGTGCTCCAACCGTGGGGTGCCGTGCCGGCGTGGCCGGCGTACCGGAGCTGGAGGATGGTCTCACAGTTGGCTTTTTTTCTTCAGGCCAAGGGGTTGGAGATGGGCCATGGGTGGCCAGGCTTGACAAAGTGACAAAATGCGAGACAGTCATACAGGATCGACTGGGAGATCTTGGTGGCTGGAGGGCTCAGACTTAGCAGTGAAGGAAATTCACGAGAATCCGTGGGAATTCTTCGCTGCAAACCTTGGATCAGGACAAAAGCCTCATGTTGGATACATGTCTTTCAGACTCCTCGGCATCACCTTTGGCCTAAGCCTTGATTTACTGAGTCTCCAACTCCAAGGCTTTTTGCAGAAGCTTCGGATGAGACTCATTCTCTTGCTCGTTGTGGCGTCTTTTTCTCCTGCTCGTCGTTCTATTGGCTGTGCCTCCTTTTCTCAGGTCCTCCGTTGTGAGGTTTCTCCACTCCTCTGGTTTTTTGGTCCTCTGGTCAACAGCGGACCTTCGAGATCAGCGGAACCTCACCGAGGCGGTTGTGGCGACCCCTTCTGCTGCAAGGGGGGATCCTTGGTGGTACTGAATTGATCTGGAGATGGGGACTGGTCCGATGCGGGAGTGGCGGTTTTGGCGTTCAATCGACGAAAATGACGTACTGCCATTGGAGGTTGGGCTAGACCCGTTTTTGGGTTCGGCTTGAAGTTTGGATCCTTGCCCACTCGTCCAACACGTGGAGCGTTGAGTTTCTTCCGCAGGGCCTGGTGCGGAAGGCCGCGGCGTTGGCCGGGTCTGGGCTAATGGAACGGCGCCAAGAGGCGTTGAAACGGTCCAGGATGTTGCAGGAGAGGGTGGCAGATGGGTGGATGGGGAGTTCAGACAGGTGGGGCGCAACGACATGGAATGTGCTTGTCATCGCGTGGCTGTGGGTCATGGCACTCGGATCCCCTTTCACCAGGGTAGGTTGACCTCCTTAGGAAGTCATCCATTCTGTTCATTTTCTCTGGAAAGGAAGCCGGCAGCCCGGCGCCATGACCCACACCCATGGGACAGCTTATTCTGTTCAGTCCATGGGTCAACCAGAGGGTCACCTGCGAGTTCTTCGTCGCTGTTCGGTCTGTGTTCTGTGGCTCCCCTTGCTTGGTCTGAAGAGGAACATCTCAGACCGACTTGCTTCATGTTCCATCATGTTTCTATGTCAGGGGGGTTGGGGTGGCAATCTTTGACCACAAGTGCGAGTGAAGAAAAATCATGGAGAGGTTCCAGGAATCACGCCAGGCACAAGATATGGACGACCCCCCACTCCAGAAAACTGGGAATCCGACGAATCCAACAGTTTTCTGTATCTTTCGGTGTCTTTCAAGTCCTAACCGTTTGCAACACTTCTTTTTGGATGCTAAAATCATGGCTCCTTCGTTTTGGCTCTTCGTTTTGGCTCTTCCGCAGCGACCGTACGGTGCTCGGTGCCGCATCGAACGCACGGTGGGACGGGCACGGTGGGACGGGCTCGGCGGACCTTCTCGATGGGTCCGTGGCCGGGTCCGCGGTCGTGACCGGTGAATTGTTGGGAGGTTGAACAAGCGAAGTCTGGTGGATTGTTGGGGCATGCGATGGATTTCGCTCATTTTGATTCATGGCCATTTGCGATGAGCATTGCCTTCAGGAGATGTTCCAAGATCCGCAGGCTGATCAAACCTCCGCCTTGGAGGCTCCGCTTCGGACGTCACTCATGGGTGATTGGAACTCCCATGTGAGGTGGGAAGACGGGTTGACTGATGAAGATCATGAAGGTTGTAGCATTGTGTAGCAGTTTCCATGAAAGCTTGGCTCCGAGCCTTGACCTTTAGCTCGGCTTCCGAGGCCGAAGTGGACGTGACGGACCTGCCATTGGATCAAAAGTCCTCGGAGGAGGTTTACTGGGAAACACTTTGGAAGGCCACGAAAGATATGCCGCTCGGGTTTGAAGGGGGGTTTGAGGGGGGGGGGGGTGTGTGTGTGGGGGGAGTTTCGCATGGCTTGTTTAGGCCGCGGAATTGAGAGGCAGAGAAGAGATGAGATGGAGAGTTTTAATGTGCTCTAGTCTAGCTATGAATGAGGTGAGGTTCGCTATTAGGTTGGAGGCCATCGCGTTGGAGGCCATCGCTAGTAGGTTGGAGGCCATTGCTTTTAGGTGCAGGTACTCGTACCACCCATGCTAGGTTTGGAGGCATGTCACCAGCTGACTGAGGATGCGAGATGACCCAACGGAGGACTGTGCACTGGTGAAGCCATGTTTTGAGTGAAGAAGTGGTTTGCTTGGCTCACCCATCTTGAAAATGACGATGCCACCGACTCTAGCAGACGAGTCTCTCTCGTCTCCGAATTCCGACCTCCCAGTGACCTCCCGACCAATCCATTTTGGGGGGTTCGTGCCCGCTCTCCGAATCCGCCAGAATACCCCGAAGCTCGACATGGATCTGCTCCCGGAGATTCCAGGGTCGGGGGAGCTAGGTCAGGAGCTAGGTCGAGCTTGGAGGGAAAACCATCCACCTGTTTGGCATTCGGACAATGGCCATCCTGCTTGGGGCCATGCCATCCACGGGGCCATAACCTTGATTATTTCAGGGACTGGGATTAGTGCAGTTCTCCGAACAAGGCCTGTAGGTCTCTGAAGCAGTCTTGGGAGAGATGGTTTCCAGGGAAAAGGAGTGAAAAAGGCATGTTCCAAATCCTGTTGTTTTTCTGAAAGAAAGACTTCTGCATCGACTTGTTGCACATTGAGGACATAAGCAAGTTGTTTTTGTGGAGCTTTGACCAACATGTCCGGAATGTAGTTTGTTTTGCTTTTTTGGTTGGGTGGCAAGCGTGGCGCACATGTGCCCAGGTCTGTGGATATGCCCTTTCCGTAATCGCAGGCTGGCCTTTTCAGCTGCCTTTTGCACTCTGGTTTGATTTTCCTTTTTGATGCCTCCTGATGCTTCCTGCTCGTAACCTGGAGACCAGCTACGGGAAGACGGTAGGTTCGCTGGTTGCAGCAATGCCGCAGTCTTTTCCAGACGCAGCCACGCTCGTTGTCGGCCACGCTCACCAGGTGGTTGAAGATTCCGGCCAAATCTGAACGGCCCAGCCTCATGATGAATGGCTGAGCCTCCGAAACTCTGCAGAACGAAGGGCCTTGTCCGTCCTTTGAATCGTGCGGAGACGTGGCTGCAGCCGCTGGTTTGCACGCGAATGGCTGGTTTTGTTTACCAAAACTGCTTAGTACTCGGTCCTGTCAGTGCAGGACATCCTGTCAGTGCAAAGATGCCTGACACGTGGTGTTGTGGCGCCAAAACCGATTCAGATTCCAATAACAACATGAAAAAGTGAGAACAACAAGGTGCGGAGCCACTGCCGATAGTTTTCGCGTTTGGATAGTTTTTGAAGATTAAGTTTTACAAGACTCGCTTGCACACTCCAGTACTGCTTGCTTGGCGGTTGGAGATGAACAACAAGCGGGCGATCGGGTGATCATGGAACCAACCCCCTCCCCTTACCCTAGGCTTCCAAGACCATCAAACAAATGGTTGATCAGTTGTTGTGGTGTAACATCCTTCGTAAAACACACATTCTTGGACAAAGACTCGGTAAATCAAGGTAATTTATATCAACATGATTGCATGTTAAATCACTAAATTTAGCAACACTAAATTAGTTCTTTTTATATTATAATATCAACAAATTGACACATTCAAACCATGCATCAATTATATATATAATATGCATTACACTTTTAGAGTATCCACCAAATATGTATTATAATCATAACAACAACATATAAATGTTCATTCATCTATCATATTGTTATAAAAATCAATGGTGTTTGGAAGCCTATGGCTTAGATTAGATGATTACATTAGATTTGGGCTGCTCACCAGGAGCTCCCCGGAGAAGGACTAGAACGTAGATGAAAAGGTGCGCGAAGCGAAACGGCCAGAAACGGCTCTGGACACGGAAGCTGCGTGTTGCTGCGTGCGCTTGGCATCCAAAGAAGAGGAACTGTCCAGACGACCTACTGTAGTCGGAGATGTTGTAGTCTACCAGTCTGTGAACTTTGGTGACTCTTTGAATCAGAAACCAACAGAAACCTACCCAGAAGGGCTCGCTTGATAGCTGGAGATGTGGCAACAAAGAGATAACAAAGAGTGACTTTCAAGAGATCTGAAAAGAAAGTCAAACAATTCCAAGTGCCTCTTTAGGCTCACCATACTGATCTAGAAGCTGAACTGGGAAAGTCAATTGTCTGCAGTTTGGCCCAAGTCGCTGTCAAGTTAATCCTCCCTGAGGGAGGCTGTTGGTGGCCATGGGCTGTGGCGGTAGTACCGGCCGCTCGGTGCTTTTAAAGATGTGTCGCGTGTCGAAACTCAGAACCCTCACTTATATGCTGGGGCTGCGAGAAATCTTTGCGATCTCAAGGCTCATCCTCAGTCAGATATAAGTGAAGACGACATCCCCACCACCCCAAACTGTGTGCGCGCACATGCACTTGAACGCTTGCTTGGGCACACCTGATGCCACGTACGACCTATGTAGGGACCTGGGCATGCTTCAGGGCCCTTAGTCCAAACCCCATTTTTTTGAAGGGGAGGTCCAGAGCCGGTGCTTCTGGGTTTTGTCTCACACAGTTGCTGTGCTCCCCGGACTGTGCGCTGTGCTGGCTTCAACAGACGGTCCAAACATCGAGTTGTGCCATGCGCAAGACTTCATTCTGAATCTCTGAAGGCAGATGACCCGCTGCCGTTTTTTTGTTTTTTCATGTTCCGAAAACACCGTGGAGAAAAAGGACAAACCACCGCTCGCCAAGTGGTCGCCGCGGCTGTGGTGGCCGGGTCGTGGTCGTTCTTCGATGTTTCACGATTCGGGACGCGGTGCCACATTCGGGAAAGTCCGTTGTAATTAGGAGCTGAGGGGACTGAGGGTAGACCGGGTAGAGACATGTGAACCTGAACCTTTGGGCCTTTCGGAACATGTTTCAGACCACCCTCGATTTCCAACACATTTTGGTCGACAGGGAGATCAGGGAGATCACTTTCTTCCTCGGTCATTTTTCCCGGACGCCTTCCGCGCACCTGCGAAGCGGCCACACGCACGTAGTTCGGCACGTTCCGAGGGAAGCGAAGTTTGAACGAGGATGCCAAGGCCAAGCTTGAGGACTTTGGGCTCCTGGCAAGAGGACTTACTACTAGGGACAAGAACGCTACGAACGGAGCATGTCGGGCATCGCTAACCGAACGGAGCAAAGGGCATCGCTACGAACGGGACTTTGGACTCTGGGACTTTACTGCTGAGTCTTACTGTGGCACCCAATACGGTGCCGATGACCATGGTGCGGTGAAGTTTCAATAGTCGTTCGTTGAGGATAAAAGCAATGACTCTGTCTATGACAGTGGGTCTTTTGACGAAGAAAGATTTTCACATCGCAGGGACGAGACAAACATCCAAGGTTGAAGAAAAGGACTAGACAATGGGGCCTCCATTTTGAAACAAGTCCACAATCCACAGTGAGAAATAGCTCTTTGCCCCTGAAGGGTTACTTATGGTTACTTTTACCACCGAACAGCTGAGACCCACTGCACCTTCCAAGAGGGAAGGCTGGATTGCCATTTGCGCTGCGTACGTGAAGTTCAACTGTTTTTTTCCCCAGATAGCGAAGCTATGGGGTTCTTACTTCAAATAACAATGAGTTGCCCGTGTGCGCTTTTGAGACAGCCTGCCGGTGCCGGTGCACGTGGTGGAGACAGGTTGCCGGTGCTGGTGCTGGGTGCCGGGTGCCGGTGCTGGTGCTTTGAGCTGGCTGTGCACGTGGTGGAGACAGGTTGCCGGTGCTGGTGCTGGTGCGCCGGTGCTGGTGCTGGTGCTGGGTGCCCTTGCTGGTGCTGTGAGCTGGCTGTGCACGTGGTGGAGACAGGGTGCCGGCGCTGGGTGCCGGGTGCCGGGTGCCGGTGCTGGTGCTGGTGCTGTGGGCTGGCTATGCGCGTGGTGGAGACAGTGCTGGGTGCCGGGTGCCGGTGCTGGTGCTGGTGGTCTATTTTCCGCGCGAGAGCCTATGGGGGTCTTACTTCAAGCATAGGAGAGCTGCATGTGTGCGCTTTCAACCTTGCAGGGTGCTGCTGCTGTGTGCGCCGCTGCAGGGCGCCGCTGCTGTGTGCGCTTGGGTGCTGGTGGCGCCGCTGTATGCGCTTAGGAGGTTGGGTGCTGGTGGTGCTAGGGCCGCTAGGGTGCCGCTGCTGTGTGCACTTAGGAGCTTGGGTGCTGGTGCTGCTGCTGCTGCGAGCGCTTGTTACGAAGCGCGAGCGAAGAAGCCGCGGGAGCTTGAACGCAATGATTCCAATGCTATCTGGGGTCTATGCTGGCGTAATTTATTTTTTTCACGTTTTAGTTGACTCCAGGGTTGGGATAAAGCATTGATAGGATATTTTTCCTTCCTTAGAAAGATTTAAGGGATCCTTATGGATTTTCTACCCTTTTGGGACACATAAGGATTTCTTCAAAGCTAGATCTTTCTCCGTGTAGCTACCGACGGCTATCCGAGCCCCCCAGGAAACCACCGGAGACGGCGGCCGGGAAACATAGCCCCCCCGGTGCTCGAGGAGCTGTTCGGCAAGATGGACCACGATGGTAGCGGCACCATTACCAAGGAGGAAGCCTGGGAAGCCAAGATGAACACGTCAAGGAAAGGTCTTCCAAAATTAATTAATATAGTAATATATTTTTAATTCTTCAAAGCAATCCTTCAAGATGCTTCATATCTTCTGTCGCAAGGCAACCATAAGTTTGGGGTTCAGATTGGAACTCCCAGAGCCAACGTTTTGGCCTGTCCCTGGTTCACGTTGTTGAGCCCGATGAGACTCTCTCTCATCGAACCGCATGGGAGGAACGCCTCGTCAAATCTCGTCAACGCCTGAAAATCTACCACCAAACCACGAAGAAGATCGGAGACTCGAAGATCTTCTCCGGTCTTTCAGAGTCTTTCAGACTGAGAAATCTTCCAACAAAGACAAGGCGACACGACAGAAGCACGACTTCTCCCGTTTTGGGGGAACATGTCTCCCGGTGGTCTGCGGTCTTCGTGTCGAATTGGCACCTCGAGGCTCAGAAGTTCTTCACCAGTTTCTCCAAGGCCAGAGAGAGAGAGAGAGAGAGAGAGAGCCGCTGCCGTCGTCGGGTCCTGACGCGTCGTCCGGTGAGGTGAATACGAAGGCCTTCTTCGATGAGGTGGATGAGGATAGCAATGGATGTATCTCGAAGGTGCGCTCGCTACTCTTGGAGAGGGGCGCGCGAATCTCTCGGACCATGTTTCTTGATTTGGTGGACATGCTGTTTTAAATTGGATCTATGACTTGGACTGTGGCGCTGTCTTTTAGAGTCGAGCCAGATGATATTGATCCATTTCAATTTGAAGGTCTTAGTTGGCCAGGTGCCTCTCAAACAACCTTGGGTATTTTGGGCATCATCACTCGCAAGATGGCAGATGTTTCATTGGATCGCTCTTGTTCACTGGCAGCCCCTTCTAAGGGCCATATAGAGTTTGCTGGTCTTCTTAAAAATAGCTTCTAGGACCCGACAGGCCGACAGTCCTCGGCGGTTTCGTCCAAGTGAGCAGTTCAGTTCAGGTGACTTCCACTAATTCTTGTTTCTATAATAGCTTTGTTCCTAGTAGTAAAGCCAGGAGCCCTGTTCGTAGCGTGGTTGTTCCGTCCCTTCGCGATGCCCTTGGTTCCCTTCGTCGCGTCACATCGCTCGTTTCGCCCCAGTGCCGTCGGTTCCGTGCTTCGTTTCTTCCCAGGCAGAGTTCATGGGCTTCTGGAGCCAGGCGACGCGGTGGACTGGTCCAGAGTCGGTCCGGTCATGTCAAACTACGTTCTAAGAGGCTTTGATGATGGCCGAATCTGCGGATGCGGAGGAAACGAGAAACCCTCAGCTCCCGAGCTGAGCAAAGAGGACTGTGTCTCAGAGATTCTGCATTGTTAGAGAGAATGCCAAGAGCAAAAAGATTGTTCCCAGATGGTTCCTCACCAGGTTGCCCATCAACACCAAGCAGCCTAGCATGTACGAGCCACGCCACTCCAGGTACGAGCTGCCGGCTACTCCAACGAGCAGCATCCAAGCTTCAACAAACACGCGAGTTTGTTTCCAGCCAAGACTCGATGACCTATCACATGTTGGGGGGAACTCCCTAACCAATGTCTTTTGGAGGCTTTCAGTCTAGTGCCCTAGAGCTTCCATCGTGGTGGATCCTCAGATGATGTTCGGACGCACCCAGCTTGATCAGAAATCCACCTCAAAAACCACCCATGTTGCACACTCCGGAGGCACGCGATTCCTTCGCATTGTTTAGCTCATATCGCACACATAAACTGCCTGCATGGGAATCATCAAGGGCCCACTTGGATGCCCAAATTGAGACTCACCATGAGGCACCTGGCACTATCCAAGCTGCTTTACGAACAGGTTGGCCCACATTTCTCCACTCAGAAATTGCTCATGGAAAACAAGGAGCTGTATGAGCTGTATGATGCTAGGCTCCACATCTGCAGGGTGCCGCTTTTGATGGCCCCGTGGCATGGAGAAAAACCCGTCCTTCACTCCACCCCCTTGACCGTGGGCGCTCGACCGTGGGCTGGGCCTGGGGCGCGCCGGTGGCGAGCGCAGACCGGTTCGCCGAGGATCTTGGAAGAGTTAGAAGAGCTCACCTCGGGGTCTGGCTGGGTCAACTGGAAGGTCTGGACGGGGTCAACTGGACCCCAGACCGTTCGGTCTTCGTGTTCGGCGGTCTCCGTGTGGGGACACGTAGTGAAATCAAGATGTTTGGGAGATGTTCGGGCAGAAGCTGAAGGAAGCAGGATCTGCACGTCCGTCTGAAGATCCGAGAAGTGAGGGGGCACAACACGTATTTTCTGCTTTGGAGATCTTTGGAGTAGGAAACAACTTTTGCCTGACTGCGCCTGACTGGCCTCGTCTGCGAGGATAGCAAAGATGTGGCTGTGGACTCCAAATCTGGTGCGCAGAAGGATTCGCCAGTGGGTCTGAGTTGTCTGAGTTGTTTGCACAACGCTAAGAGAGGCCCAGAATGTCACAAGAGTTGACGTGATTTAGACAAGTCCAGGCAAGTGGGCCCAGGCAAGTGACCTTTTCTTGTCCTTTGCTTGGGACCCTGGAATCTTAACCTTTCTAGGAGTACAAGCCAATCACTGCGAAGCAGCCTGAAGCCGCCGGCGCCGCGGCGGAACCTGCCGCAGCCACTGAACCGGCTGAACCTGCGGCAGCCGAACCTGCGGCAGCCGAACCTGCGGCAGCCGAACCTGCGGCAGCCGAACCTGCGGCAGCCGAACCTGCGGAAGCGGCGGCGGACACAGGGGCAGAGCCGTCGGATACGAAGATCTCAGATGAGTTACTGGGCAAGTTGGAGGAGCGCTGGAACAGGCTGGAGGGCAAGGCAGGTGTTCTTTTTCTTTGGGCTGTTTCAAAGGAGTTTTGTTGATGGGTTATTTGCGGCGAGTTGTTTGGAGAGAGAAAGGACAGAACATATGACAGAGGTTTGAATTCCACATGTGGTGGGAACCCTGACTGAGCAAGCAGATGATATAGATGAGTTGAGCGATTTCCAAGGTGTCACCAGGGACTACTACCAGCAAGTTGCGACGACACACTCTCACCTGTGGTGTCAGGAGATGTTCACCAAGATCGACTCGGATGGTAGCAACACCATCACCAAAGAAGAGGTGGGAGCAGTATGCGTTGTAATGAGCACTACCAGGTCAGGGTTGAACGGCATGCTCTGAAGATTCAAAAAGAGTTAGGCTCTTTCAGCAATTCGTTGTTGAAGGGAGTTGCTTCTTTTCAGCAATTCGTCAGTGAAGATTTGGAAGAACATATTCAAACATTGGAACCACCAGCGGCGTGGACCGAACCCATGTTCCGCTTGGACCATCGCTTGGCGGAATGGACGGACCAAGTCGTCCATCGGTAGGCGATGAAGTTCTTCACCAGCTTTGGGAAGGCGACGGAGCGATTGGGGGTGGGGCTATTAGGGGCCCCTGGCCATACTACGAGGAGCGATCGGACACTACGAATGGGGCTCCTGGCCATACTACTAGTAACAAGAAGCTATTAGAAAAAAGAATTCACTAGAATTAGAAACACATCTGTCTTTTTCAAAGGGGCATCAAATGTCGGTCAGCGACCGTCCACAATTGCTTTGAATGGGGTGTCCAATGTTCTCAAAAAGACGAAGCCAGTTCTCAGGCTTCCCAGACAGTTTGGTCGGATTGCATCTCTAATGCAGATGTGGATATACAGATATCTCCAACTTGGATCCAAGAGGGAGTACTGCAAGATCTGGACCAAAAAACTTCATATTGAGGTCCAGAGGTCTACGGAACTAACAAACACAATGAGCGAGGAGACAGCCGTAGATGACGGGGAAATCTGGTTTCTCACCACTGATTTGCAAGTTTGCAATGACACAGGTTTCAATTTCTCAGAGAGATCGGAAGTCCTTCCTCAGAGATTGGACGCTTCAATACCGATTGGCGTTCTCGACCCATCCGCACCCAGTCAGCCGCGATTCGGTCGGACCAGACGAGCTCTGAGGTCAACGCCAATGCCATGTTCGCGGAGGTGGATGACGACGGCAATGGCCGGATCTCCAAAGTGGGGGGCCTCAGCTACAGCGGCTGTTAAATAGGGAGACCTCGTCTTCATATGGGATTGACATGATATCGTTCATTTTGGTTCGATCGTCTTCATATAAGTGTGCTTTTAAACAAGGAGACCTCCCAGGCAACAGAAACAAGGAGGTTGGGTGGTGGTGAGGTCATGTTAGAGGATGTTGACGTTCCTGTTAGTTCAAGATAGTGTCCTAGAACAAGCACATGCAGCAGATGGAGTGGTGTTTTACGAGATGAGGTTCATTTTTGTTGGCAGCTTTTGGGGGTCCAAAGAGACTCCGAATGCTGTGCCAAGTCTTTCGTGGATGTGTTGGATCCGCCGTGCCCCGATTGCCCCGATAGCAATGTAGTTCTCCAAGCGCGTGTGACGCAGCGTTCCCTTCATTTGACTGTGCAGGGCTGACATCATCTGACTGCCTGAAGATGTCGACTCAGAGGGCTGCAGTATCAGGTCATGAAAGAACATGAAAGAATTCGGTTGCTATGAGAACTAAGGGGAACAAGGGTGGCGATTAATAGACACATAAAACATATGTTTATTCCTGGAAGAAGGGGCATAGACCAAAACCGATGTTTCCTGGGAGCCCCCCCTATGTAAATTTGCACACCCACATGGACCACGGCCGTGGGCTGTGGGTTTGGGTCTCCGGGAGCCAATACCTGGCAGCAATGACCTACAGGCATTTTACGGTGTATGCTGCTATTGAACCATCCTCTCAAAGAAGTGGTTTCTGGGATCGTGGGTGGATCAGACTCCCTGTGGCGAACTCGTGGAAAGCCTGCCTCCGTGGGCGCAGGAGGAGTTCATGGGCTTTTGGCAGCAGGTCAGAACGTCTGGGTACAGCAACGACGAGCGCCCCGGCAGATGGAGACCGAGCCCGCCGAGGACTTGACCAAAAGCCGTGAGGACGAACGAAAAACGGATGGAGCGAGGGCAGTGTTGAAGCAAAACGGTTGGGGGTCGAAGGGGGGAAACGTCGAGTTGTTACATTCAGGGAGAACGCTACGAACGGGGCTCCTGGCCGTACTACTAGGAACAAAGGACGCTACGAGGGCTAAGGTTCAATCATATTGCTTCAAAAGGGATGAATATTTTCTTTGCAGGGGGGGTCCCGATTCGGAAGCCACGAAATCCTAGCTCAGTTCCTTGAAGAATTTGGAATCCTCCATTGCCATCTACCCGGTGTTTGCTTTGTTTGCGGTGTTCTAGTTGTAGCATCTACCCGGTCTCCCCGGTCTCCTCGTGAGCTGTTCGAAGAGCTCGACCGAGGATTGCCATGGAGCTCGAAGAGCTGGTGAAAGGTGGTGCCTGGGTGAACTGGGATGTTCCTTCGGCTGCAGTGGGCTGGACCCGTGAAGGGTTCCGCAGTTGGAGTGGTGCCTGGTTGGATGGGTTTGCAGTGGTGACATGTTGGGATTCTCCAGTGTGGACCTCCGCGAATCCGGGTCCGACCCACTCTTCGATGAACTTCGCAGGTCTTGACTTGTTGACTTAGGAGCAAGATGCTACTAGTAGCTGGCATTACTACTAGCAACAAGAAGCTACTAGTAACAAAGGGCATCGCAAGAAGCTACCAGGTGGAGGGAATGGGAAGTCCCGCGAGGAACATTGGTGGTCACGTTCTAGACTCCTAGACTTTGGGATGACTTTGGTAATCTATGCCATCCAGTGGGAAACCAGTGGGACTCCAAGGTGCAAGAGATATTCGGTCACAATGTGTCATGTCAGCATTTGTTACGGCCCTCTTCAGTGCATCATTTTGCTATTTGGGGATCAGTCTTGCTTGACTCGAGCAGCCCTGTAGAACACCTGTTTGGCCCACATCTTAGATGAAGCATGATGATCTTAGGTCAAGGTCTCAAACCTTGGTGGGGTTTCACACGTTTGAGACATATCATCAAACATGGACAGTTCGGACGAAGAACCGGCGGACCGACGGGGGCGAGACCGACCGGTGAAACCGCGCCAGGATGGCAAGCAAGTGCCCGATGACTGAGTCGTAGCGGCGCACGAGCGAAACGTGGCTTGCGGTGACCTTGGCGAAGCCAAGGACCATCGAAACCACCTTGGAATTGCAGGTTGGCAAACCAAGCCTTCAAGCCTTCCGCAGTGTAACATGGTGAGTGCAGTGGGTTCTTTCAAACCCCTGTTCCTTATGAAGCAATAAACGGATTTCCAATGTGAAATTGAATTTCCAAAGAGTTGTTTGACACTGCGAAACCTCCGATTTGCATCATGCCAGAGGCAAATCCTTTAGTGGTGCAATTGCATGAAAATATTATATTATCTAAGGAAATGTTAGATATATATATATATATATATTAGCATTGCATATACATTAAGGGCTCCGCCCTGGTGCCGCCGACCCCTTTTTTTGGGGAGGACATCCCGCAGGCGGGGGACAGAATGTACCCCGGAAAGAAAAGAGGTGCAGGCCGAGCCGCAGGCAGCCAAAATGCCTCGGCGCCTAACGTCGCCTGGCCTGGCCTAGTTGCTGGGTAGCTGAGTCAAAGGGGTGCGTATAAAACAGCCCGGTGGCCAGTGCAAGCGGGGGGATTTTCGGGGTAGCAAACGACACCATCTATTTTTGCCCACAAAAGCGGTCGGAACGGGGGGGGATGTGGGGGGGATGCAGCCAACCAAAGTGCCTAATGTTGCTTGACACGTTACTGGGTACGTTGCTTTTGGAACCCTGAAGTATAGACCGAGTCGCAATTAGGTAAAATGCTTAACGTCGGCTGGCCTAGCCCAATTGCCTGCCAACTGAGTCAGAGGTGTACGTATAAGGCAAAATGCAACCGACGGGGTGTAGGCAACCAAAGTGCTTAACGTTGCTTAGCACGTACGTTACTTTCGACACCCTAAAGAAAAGTGGTGCAGGCCGAACCGCAACTAGCCTAAAGGCCTAACGTCGCCTGGCCTGGATTTGTTTCGTAATGAACTTAGCAAACGACACCATCTGTACGGCTTGGTGTCGTAACGGGAGGGTTTGAAGCCTAAATAACGACACCATGTATTTCTGCTACAAAAGCGGTTGGAACGGGGGTGATGCAGGAAGCCAAAATGCTTAATGTTGCTTGGCACGTTGCCGGATACATTGCCCTCGGAATGCTAAAGATACGAAGGATGCAGGCCGAATCGTAGGCAACTAAAATGCCTAACGGGAACGGGAATGGATATAGGCATTTTAAATGCTTAACATTATTTGGCATGTTGTCGGATACTTTGCTTTCAATTTCCTAAAGAAAAGAGGTGTAGGCCGAGTCGCAGCTAGCCAAAATGTCTAACGTCGGTTGATTTGGCCTAGTTATTTGATAGTTGAGTCATAGGTTTGTGTATAAAGCAATTTAAATCGGGTTGGTTAATGTAATCGGAGGATTTCCGGGATAATAAATGACACAATTTACTTCCCCACCAATAAGAGGCGAATTATAGGCAACCAAAGTGCCTGACGTTGGCTACCACGTTGCCTTCGAAATCCTAAGGAAAAAAGGTATAGGCCGAACTGCAGTTAGTTAAAATGCCTCACGTTGCTTGGCCTGGCCTAGTTGCCTGGCAACTGAGTCAGAGGTATGCATATAAGGCAAAATGCAACCGACGGGGGTGAAGGTAGTTAAAGGCCTAACGTTATCGGTTCAATTGTCGGGTGCGTTGCCTTCGTTGATACCGCAACGGGCGGGTTTCAAACCTAGCCAACTATACCATTTATTTCTGTCCACAAAAACGGTCGGAACGGGGGGGGGGGGGGGGCGTAGTTAGCCAAAGTGCCTAACGTTGCCTGGTACGTTATCGAATACGTTACCTTCGGAACCCTAAAGAAAAGAGGTGCAGGCCGGATCGTAGCTAGCCAAAAGGCCCAACGTCCCCTGGCCTGGTCTAGTAGGATACCCTAATAGCTTCTTGCTCCAGTAGTAAGGCTAGGAGCCCCTAGTATCTCCATGGCACTGGGTGTTTTTGCTGAGTGCGAGTGAATTGGGCGTCTTCATTGCTCCTTCTGAATTGTGGTGGAAGCGAGCGGTCAGATAGGGCTCCATGCTAGTTGTGGAGCTCTATGTGGTTTATTGCAAATGCTCTGCTGATGCAGCTGTGCTCCCATTTTACTTTTTTCATGCTTTGAGTGGACGTGCATGCTTTGCAGTGGTGTAACTTGTAGGCTTGAGCAAGCGAGCGTGCTTGTCTGTTAGACTAGAAGGTGGAATCTAAAAGGAGAGTTATTATAGCACTCTCTGGATTGTGGATACCATTTTGGTTGCGAGTTGCCACTTCAGAACCAAGCGAGGAAAGCTCGGTTTCGGGGCAGGGGAGAAGCTCCCGAATCCGCAAGAAACATCTTGATTCTCCTTAATTCTTGCGGGAGGGTTTCAAGCCTAACCAATGACACCATCTATTTCTGCTCACAACAGCGGTCGGAACGGGGGGGGGGTGCAGCCAGCCACGGCGAAACGCTCTGTATCTGCTTGGCCTGGGCAAGTGTTTCACCCTGCGGTGTCCCCGGCGCCGCCCCGCCTAGGCGTCAGCTAGGCAGGGGTTGGGGGACTTTTAATTTCATTGTCTATCTTAGAAAATGGCGGAAGATGATATCTTTGAATTTATACATAATATAAAAGATTGAAAATTGCAATTATAGATTATCGTATTATTAACGGGAATTATTGGAATTTTCGACATGACAAATATTTAAAGGCTTCTATAGATAGATGATACAAATAAATATATATAATAATAAATAATCTATTCTTCCGGATTAAGGGTGAATAGGATATTTGAATATATAGATAATATATCGATTAATATTTAATATAATAATATATATTGAAATGAATATATATATATATCTTTGTATTTATATATTGATGGATAAGGACATATAATTATTATTGATTCCTAATTTGGTAGGCGATTTATTGAAATTTAGAAGGAAGATTTTAATGAAATATATATAATTTGATATAATTTGGAATGATTATCACTATAATATATTTCAATGAATAATGCATTCTTATATATATATATTTGAATATATATAAATAAGTTAATTTTATTAAAATATATATATGTAATTGGCTTATTCACTAGTGCGACGAATAGATATTTCTTTAAATATTCTATATAATTGAGGAATATAATAAAGTGGGAATTGAGGAAATTATATATATATATGATGGGAATTAAGGATTTTAGATTAATTACTTATTTTATTGGTATGGATGGAAAAACAATTATATATATTTTGATTTTTGATAGATATATTTGGAAATTTATTTTGTCCGTATTGATCGCAGTGGCGGTATTGATTTTGGTTCGATATTTTGTTCATATGGGTATTGACAATATATCATGTCAGGAATAATATCATATTATATGAGGAATGATATTATAATATGCCAATGGGGATAATATTTATATTGGGGGCATTATCATATCATGATAATGGTGATATCACGTCATAGCAGGGATGATAATATATCTTATCGAGGCTGATATTGTATTATGCGAGGGGAGACGTTATATAAAATCAGGAATGATATCGTATTATATCCACGAATGATGATATTATATCATATTAGGGGTGATATCATATCATGCCAGAGATGGCATTATATCATGCCAGGGATGATATCATATCATGCCGAGGATTACATCATATCTTGCCAAGAATCATATCATATTATATCGAGAAATTATGATATCATGCTACGGATGATATCATGGCATGGTAGGGACGATATTATATTATGCCAAACATAATATACTAATGTATTCCGAATGATAATTCAACATCTTATATAATAATGATTGTAATATCGTCTGGGCAACTTTGGTTGATCCTTGCCGATCTTGCGATTTGACGTCTATATTGGGCAAGGTGGGTGCATTCAGCTGATAGATGTTGCGCATATTGGTGGATTGGTCTGATGTTGTGTGTTGTGGTGATATCCCTCCGTAGTTTATCCTTAAATTCTATATATTTTTTTATCTCGGGTCTATGTTGGGGTAATCTGTATGCTTTCATCTTCAAATTAATATTTTTGAACAAATTGCTCAGGAAGATCTTGCAGCAACAATTGCTGTTGGGGAAATTCCAGATCCTGAAGATCCTGAATGGAAATTAATCCTGGAGATTGCGAGGTTGCAACAGAATCTGCCGCTTAATCCAACTCCTACAAGGTGTAATTGCCAGGTTCATGGGCCATTTGGGCTATTGATAGATTAGCACCGGGTGCAGGATACAAAGACGTATTCCTATATAATGCTTTCAGGTATCCGTGTTAGCGCCTGGGCATGGATACTTATATTCCAAATTTAAACGGATTAATGGTGGAAATCGCTCAATGGAATTGATCTTCGAAGAGGCCCTTGATGAGAACAAAACAATATAATAGGATTCTAAGATCGATGAAGACCGATGAATCTGGAGGAAAAAATACGAAATAAAGATAACATATCGTTTTAAGGCAGATATATAGAAAGAACGAATTTGATCTCCGTCCTCATCCTTCTTTCTCATTTCTCTCTCGTCCGCAAGGGTTGCCGCGCGTCTCCACTTTGCTTTAAATCATTCCATTCCCGACATTTGGCAAATATCGTGGGCAAAATATTGTTCCGTCCATATTGAAGGAAGAAAATATATTCTTTGTCCAGATTTAACTGATTCAATACATTTTCTTGGGGGAATGATAGCCTTGCCAATATATGAAGGTTTCCATCGTGTCCTCCATCCGATATGCAATCCTAGGAGGTCGAGGATCGGCGCGTGGATCTCCGATCATTCCATGCGTATCTAAGCGAGGCCTCGGTGCGAAGCCGCTTCTGGAAAGGCCGGCCACAGGGGTCCGCGAGATCGGTAAAATGATGGGCCAAAAAACACTCCATAAGGATCAATCTTGGGCCAACGTATATTCAATCGTATGGAATCATATTGGAACACAATTAATGGAGATGATTATGAATGATACAATGAAAGTTCTGCTAGCGTCCGATGCACAAGCAGGATTTCATCTAAGTTGATGAGAAAATTGAAAATATAGTATTGAAGCGTGCGAATCTGAGATAATGCTGGAAAATGGGAAATTTCACGGATGGATTTTGAATTGATTAGTCCAGATTTGACTAGCGTCAAATGGGGTGGAATATCCTGGATTAGAAGAT